TCTATCTATCTATCTATCTATCTATCTATCTATCTATCTATCTATCTTTAAAATTTGAAAATGAAAAATCATTATGGTAGAATAGGGGAAATAGAAGGTTGAACAAAAGTTAAAGTAAAGTTTTAATGCCACACAGACTTGATCAAATCAGTGAAAACCATAGCAGAATGAAATCTCTCCAAAATGAAAGTGCAAAGTTAAACAAACACTAAAGTTAAACAATACTAAAGCTATCATTTGTGCCAAAAAATTACACAAGAAGAAGTGGGTACACTCTGGAATCAGTCTCTCTCTCTCTCTCTCTCTCTCTCTCTCTCTCTCTCTATTTACATGAGCAGAAAAAACAGAAAAGAAAAAGCTGTGGGTGATAATGCTGTCCTAATGTTTATAAAGATGGTGAAAGCCCGTTTGAAAATAGATTTGAATTATTATGGTGTATTATGGTATAATGTGGTGTCACAAAAAGGTTCTGTGTTGGCTTGTAAATGAAGAACTTTTTTTTGGGAGTGTGCTAGGTTAATTTGTTTTTCTATAAATCCTGTTTTACTGATTGCCGTTAATGGCAGTTTTTTTGTAACTTTTAAAATCCTTTAATAAATGTATTTTTAAAATTTAAAAATTTCTCTCTCTCTCTATCCACAACCGTATATATATATATATATGAAAGCATTGTTCTCTCTATAGAGTGAAACATAATCATCATAAAACATCTATTTTATGTCTCCCGTGGGGAGTTTTGAGCTGGACTTGATGAGCCAGACGGATTGTGACAGAAACAGAAGTCCTGAGCTTTATGTGGTCAGTTTTTTGCCAGAAGCCAGTTCAGATGAAGCCTTAGACACCGGAGGCTTCCCGCCCTTTTCCCAATGTGTGGTCACCCCAGAAAAAGCCCCCCCCCCCAGATTATGTCGTTTCTCTGGTGTTAAACAGAAGAGTCGACCCCTCTGACAGCTTCCTTCCCCATTTCCCAGCTTTCATGTCAGAAGGACGGGGCTATAAATGCTACGACTATTTTAAGCATCCTCTTTTAAAGCTTCAACAAATCAGAGGGGCTGTTTTTGCTGACGTGGAATCTCAGCCACTCAGTCCCAGACATTTTTTTTTAAATACAAAAAAGCATCTGGGAGCAAATTCTGGAGAACACCCACGTCTCTTAATTTGAGTAAAAAGTCAAAACACGATGGATTGGTCACTATTTGCCTCCAAAAAATGCATCTGACTTTAATCACACGCAACAATTTAATGATCAATGACTATAAAGGATGAGAATACTGGGTGTCTTCTTTTACACACTTAATCAAATTAAAAGTCCCAAATGCAAATGGCGGTTAAATTACTACAGACTTAAAATAAACATTTCTTTGATTAAATAAACAAACCATAAATAGCAAAAATAATATAGAAATATAGAAATTCCTACATTCTAAATTGTATTCCCTAACCCTTTAAAGCCGATCCAAGAAAAAAAGGAAGAATATTGGATTTTTTTAGTCTGAAGTCTTTCTTTGGCACCTCAACAACATGTGAAGAAAAAAAAACAGAAATGATTTTGATCAAATTAGCGTGCAATAAGTCAAAAATATATTTTGGTGTAGTCTTCTACTGGCTGTTATCAGGTATATCTGAATGTGTACAACAGGGGTTTGAGCAAAGCTTTTACCACTGAATGATGCAAAAAGTCTCAGATCCAAAAGACTTCAGAAACCGTATGAATCAGATATGATACATTTGGCATTATAGGGTTAATATGGACTTTTTCCCCCATCGCGAAAACCCTGTGCCCATAAAAATGAAGAAAATGAGGATTGTATCCCCCCCTAAATGTCCCGTTTCTGACGGTTTTTTCTAAAAAAATATGCTTCGTATTCCAGAATGAAAGCTAAAAACAGAGAAACACAAGGTTTTGCCTCAGTCTCAGATCCAAAAGACTTCAGAAACCGTATGAATCAAATATGACACATTTGGCATTACAGGGCTAATATTCAAAATGGTAACTTGGCTCTAACACACAGCTTAACAGAGTAACGGCTCAGTGGGTAGTCGCCCTTCCTCTGGTTCTCCACACAGAGGCAGGAAGTCGTCCACA